TCACCGGACTCCTCCCCCTTCCCTTCGTTAGCCGACAGCCACTTGGGGAAGGGGGGAGGAGTCCGGTGACGTCGATGTCCGTGACGTCACCGGATCTCCGACGGAAGACCCGGAAGCCGGCGGAGAGGTGAGTACAGATCAAAATAACTTTGATCGATCAAAATAACTTTGATTGATCAAAAAAATTAACGATTAATCGTTAATTTCCGCAGCCCTAGTTAAATTGGATCGAAGTAACACATGAACAGAAACAGTCAGACAGAGTAATAATCAAAATAAAATACCTAGACCTCAGATGACAAAGGTTCCATGATGACCCACTATATCTATCCAGCAAATATCTCCAATCTATATATGCACCTCTGTGCGCTCATCTTTTTTTTTCCTAGCCACTGTAGGCTCTGAATTCATATACAGTTTAGTGTCATTCACTAACACAGAAAGGATTTCTGATTGGCTGGTCTAATTACCCCTTTGATGTTAGTTAACTAAACAGGTTTTGACAAAATTCCCTACAGCTGTTCTATTGTGTACAATCAACACCCTGAAAACAGGATGGTCAGCTGGTAATAAAAACTTACACGATAAAAACCTAGTTAGCATAGGTGTATTAAATAACATCAGCCAAAAGAATTTCCTGTAATACATATGCATACAGCCTAGATTTACCCCTAATATATCTACTTCAATCATAATTTACAACACCTACCCCAATCTGTCCAGCTATCTCCTACTTTGTCTGCCTTTAGTCAATCCTTAAAAACTTATCTCTTCAGGGAAGCCTATCCTGCATCAAGCTAACCACTGAACCATCACATTCTCAAACAATTCATACCTACTCTGCTACCACCTCTTGTATCACCTGCCCCTCCCTTTTAGATTGTAAGCTCTCACGGGCAGGGCTTACCAACTTGTTTTGATTTGTATTGTAAGTGTAATGTTTTCCTTATATTGTAAAGTGAGTTTGTAAAGCAGAGTTTTTCTTTCACTTTATTTCCTCGTGACATAACAGGAGGTGAAGACAAATTTCCCCAACATGGATCCTTTCCCACTTTATCCAAACCTACGAAAAAAATTGTGGTTGGAATTTCACTCTATATGGATAGGAAACTCTCACATGAGGTTCCCTTTTGG